TATCCCCACTTTCAGCTTTATGGTGGTTAATTGGAGATAAGGATCCCCTGGATTTTTTTTTTTTCCTGCATGGGCTGGCTTTGAACCTTGATCCTCAAATCTCAGCCTCCTGAGTAGCTAGGATTACAGCTGTGAGCTACCAGTGCCCAGCTCTGTCTGGGTTTGTTAGAAAGGAAAGAACTGGAGAAAGGCAGCATCTTCCTCCTGATCTGCTACTCACCTTCTTACCCAAGCCAATGAGGTCTTATTGGTCATTCCTATCACAGAACCCTGAAAGACATTTAAAAAAATACCTTTTACTTTGTTTTAAAACTTATTGAAGTAAAATAATTTAAAAACTTAAGAGTTTTTGTCTTTAAGTAGTTGTACAAAGGAGTTACCACTCAATAAATCAGTTTATGAAGTCAATGTGTCCTATTGCTATCACCCCTTTCACCATTCTCCCTCTCAACCTTCCCCCCTTCTCAATTTTCTGAGGTGCTGTCCTTGAGCTCTTCAGCTCAAGGTTAGTGTTCTACCACTTGAGCCTCTTCTAGATTTCTGGTGGTTAATTGGAAATAAGAGTCTCACGGACTTTCCTGCCCGGGCTGGCTTTGAACTGTGATCCCAGATCTAAGCCTCTAAGTAGCTAGGATTATAGGTGTGAGCCACCAGCACCCAGATTCAATTTTCTTAATTTAATAGGATGTACATTGAATTATATGAATGCATTCTGCATCCCCTTGCTCTCTTCATTTATATACTCCCCTTGACTTCGTTCCTCACCTTTTAAGTACCAGCTTCCCGGTGTTGTGAGTTAGTCTTTCTAAAGAATTGCACCATTTGAACTCTCTTTAAGAGAAATACCATATTTCTCCTAATACATTTGTGTGCACTTGCATGCAACCCCAATGTGTTTATTCATTTATAAATTAGTTCTAGGTTCCACATATGAGAGAAAAATGCTAATAACAGATGCTGGAGGGGATGTGGCCCAAAGTGAACCCCACTGCATTGTTGGTGGGAATGTAAACTTGTTCAACCACTTTGGAAAGCAGTATGGAGATTCCTCAAAAGACTCCACATAGAGCTCCCCTATGACCCAGCAATTCCACTTTTAGTCATTTACCCAAACGATCACAAACAGGGCCATACTAAAGCTACCAGCACAACTATGTTTATTGCAGCCTTATTTACCATAGCTAAGATATGGAACCAACCCAGATGCCCCACAGTAGATGAATGGATCAAGAAAATGTGGTATATATTTATACAATGGAATTCTATGCCTCCATCAGAAAGAATGACACCACCCCATTTGTTAGGAAATGGAAAGACTTGGAAAAATTTATATTAAGTGAAGTAAGCCAGACTCAAAGAAACAGAGGTCCCATGGTTTCCCTTCTCTGCAATAACTAGTATATGTATAGGACAAACAAAAGAGGTCAAAAGCTATGTACATATGACCATATAATCTGATACTAAGTGAAATGAACCCCAAGATAGGGACACAGAGATTTTATCTTTCTTGTTGTTCTTTTTAAAGTACCTATAATGTATCATGTGATATTTTTTGGTTTCTTTATATGTTCTTCCCCCATGGTACAACTCCTGTTGTCACTGTATTTGATTCTGGTGTCCTGCATCTTGTATATACATTTTTCTAATTTGGGGAGGGGAAGGGAAATAACAAAATGCCTGAAATAAGGATACAGGATGACCCATTGTAACAATTCGATGTATAAGACAGTATGTTGAAAATGAACTTAACAACTTTTGGGGTGGGGGAGGAGTTGGGGAGGTGGAGAGGTGGGGAGGAAAGGGATGGTAGGGGAAAAATTAAGGAGGGGGTAACAATGTTCCATAGGAAATGGACTCATTACCTTGCTCATGTAACTGTAACCCCTTTGTGCAGTATCTTTACAATAAAAATATATATTAAGAAAAAAAGAAAAGAAAAATAATTTTTAAAAAGGAAACAAATGCATCCCTTATCTCTCTGAGCCTGACTTTATTTATCAGGACTTTTTCTGGGCCCACCCATTTCTTTGCAAATGATGTACTATCATTCTTTCTAATGGATGAATAAAATACATTGTGTATATGGTACCACATTTTCTTGATCCATTCCTCCATTGAGGGCTCATTCCATAGGGTGACTATGGTGAATAGTGCTGCAATGAACATAGTTGTGCCAGTAGATTTACTGTAATCTTTTGGGTAAACATCATTCTACTGCATGCACCAGAATTATCACTTAATGACTATGTTTCAAAGGCTAAATTCTTTATTAACTCAGGTTTCAGTTAAGGTGACCTCCTGATTCTCAACTCTGCTGGAGTTAAGGAATGAATAGTCAGTCCCCTTGGCTTCGGTGATATGACATCTTTTTCCTGCCGCAATGTGGATGTAGGGACTAGGTTAGGGGAATGTGTATAAAAAATTAAGCCACCCGGGCTGGGAAGGTGGCTCAGTGGTAGAGCACTTGCCTCGCATGCCTGAGGCCCTGGGTTCGATTCCTCAGCACCACATAAGCAGAAAAAAGCCAGGAGTGGCGCTGTAGCTCAAGTGGTAGAGTGCTAGCCTTGAGCTGAAGAGCTGAGGGACAGCACCCAGGCCCAGAGTTCAGGCCCCACGACCGGATCCAAAAAAAAAAAATTAAGCCACCCTATAAAACTCTTTAAGATGTGTGTCTTGGGCTGGGAATATGGCTTAGTGGTAGAGTGCTTGCCTAGCATGCATGAAGCCCTGGGTTTGATTCCTCAGTACCACATACACAGAAAAAGCCAGAAGTGGTGCTGTGATTCAAATGATAGAATACTAGCCTTCTATCAAATGAATTCTATCAACTGATAGAATACTCAGGGACAGTGCCTAGGCACTTGAGTTCAAGCCCCAGGACTGGCACACACACACACACACACACACACACACACACACACACACACACACACATCTCTGTCCTTTCTTTCTTTTCTGTCTGTATTTATGGCAGGATTGTTCTGTAAACCCTAGATTTAAGATCTGTCTTCAAGCAGGAAGGTCAAACCAGTGAAACTGTGTATTTAGAAAAATCACCACCAGTTAAGCCCTTAATCTCCTTTAGCATAGAAATAATAGAGGCTTACTTTAGCCATGGTCAAGCAACTGCATCAGTAGCTAAACTGATCATTCAATCTTTGTGCATCTGAATAGCAATTTGAGATGAGGTGAGATTGAATATCCTGTTTTCAATCTCAGATCTAAATCTTGTGTAAGATGGGTATGGGATGATCAAGCAATGTATGAACTATCCCTTTACTTCTGAAATGATCCATCAAGTATACTGTAGCCTCTTCATCTATGTACCTCTTGCCTACAGCATTCATCCAGAGATTTCTATTACCACAGCCAGAATCAGCTCACTCACCCTGGGGTCACCCTGGGACCTCTTCTCACCTCTTCACTGCGACCTTATATTGTTTCATCACCTCCAATATCACACTGGCTAATGTCTGATGGAGAAGAAACAACATACCACAAACCCTGTGTTCTATTTGTTAAAGGTGTATGTCCATACCTCTTGTTTTGTAAGCCTGAAGTTTCCCTCAGGAATCTTCTGTACTACTGCCAGAAAAAGGGATTCCCTAACTAGATCCTTCTAATGACAATCCATCCTCTGGGCCAATAGGAGGGAGGAAAACGCTGTGAATGCCAGTGTTGAAGACACTTATTCTATATAATAGAACTACACAGAAGAAAGTTCATATTGCAAAGACTGAACATTGAAAAACACAAAGGAAGATGAGAGGGATCAAATCCAGTATATGAAGCACACATACTATCACTGCGTTCTACACTCTTGTAGTCCAAGTAATCCTTCTATTTAACAACTATCAAAAAGGACATAAGACACCAAACTAAGATTATTATTTCCCTTCCCCTGTTTTCTGTTGGAATTACGTTACAATTATTGTATTCTTCCAATCTTCTGGCCTTGTACCTTTATTGTGTTGGCTTTTATGTAACTCTGTGATTGAAAGAATAAAGCTCCAAATCTTGGGCACAGGTGTCTGTTTCTCCACCCCATGAAAGCATCTTTCCCAGGCATTATCATTCCCAGCATAAGTACCTTGCAACCCAGTTCAGCTTATACTCACCATTCTCTTCACACACTGTGCACTTCCATGCACAATACACTTCCACGCACAGTACACTTGGCTCCTTAGTTTCTGTCTTTTTCTTCATTCTGGGAACCATCTTCCTCTGGCAAAACCCAGCCCAGGATCCAGCCCTGATGTTCAGTTTCCTGAATCTTATCATGTTGCTTGAGCTTGTAACACTGCTCTGGTTTTTCTGGCAGGCTTTGTCTACCTAGCATTTAGAAGTACCCCAACATCAAGATGGACATTCCTTGGTGGTGTCATGATGTCATTTCCCTAGTAACTCTCACACCTTCTCTTGACTCCTTAGATACTTACTGAGGCCAAGTCTAAAATTGGTCAATGGCAGCATATACAAGTGAACAATTCCTTTTCTCTTCTGCTCATTTTTCTCCTCCCATTGCTGCTCTTTCATTCACTTCCACCTATTCATCTTTGTCTTGAGTATCACAGTAAAATAAATGTGCAATTGTACTTCTATAAAAGCAGAGTATGTTCATAGAAGACTTGGTATGGAAAAGGCAGGAACTATTACCTTTCTGATTCACAGTCCTATCACTGCTCAACAGCAGTGGCTCAATAAATCATTACCAAAAGAGCCAGCAGAGGACAATGACAACTGTTCTATGCCCGTGTTGTGTGGCACATGGTTGCTAAAAGTTGATGTACAGATTTACATTACTCTCTAGCTTTTATAAACTGAAATATCAGCATCAACTATTGAAAGAACAATAAGAATTGTTTTTCTACTACTCTGTAGTGGTTTCTATTATTAACTCAAATAAGTTATAAAAACAATCTGAGGTTAAGCCTTATGGAGAAAAGAAGCAGAGTAAACACTTTTGCGTTTTCTAGTAAGATCAGGACAAGACAGGAAGAAACTTTCTACATTTAGTAACATTTATTTATGCATTCAGTATCAAGTACATAAGTGCAAATATCCAGAGTCCATAATTAAGTCCATTAGGAACTACAGAGAAAGTAATACAAATTGTAATAAAGTTAACATGCTGGTAACTTTTGAGTGACCATACATGTAAATCAGCCCATCCATCCCATACAACAAAAGGACTGTGTGTTCATGTTGGGGTGTATTCATTTAATTATTTTAAGTTATACAAAACTGATTACCATCAACTGCTTTTTAAATTATATTTTTTATGTTGTATGTGTTGGAAAAATGCTAAAACATCAGTCTACAATTCTATATAGTGTTATTAAAGATTAATCCAACCAGCAACCCAAGGACATATAAGCGATTTCCACTATTGCGTCAGCTCACTGGGCAGGAGAGGACTAGCTGCGGGTTAGAAGCTACAGAAGCATTGCAGAGAGGAAGAGGAGGAGAAGGGAGAGGAAGAGGAGGAGAACACCATAGAAGAAAAGATAACATGGGCTCTCACCATCATGCACTTTTTTGTTTTTTAGCAACACAAAATTAAAAACCACATCTAATACACTTTTCTCTATACTTTAGTGCTTGACACAAGTGACTCAAATATTCTAAGAGTACAGAACAGCCTAAAAACAGCTGTTTTAAGGTTTGCCTCTAAGAGTATGGTAACTGGGAGGGAAAAATGATTGATTTGCAGTAACGAGTCAAAAGAGGGCGGTTACCACGGCAGACATCCCTGTTTGTGTTCTGTTCTTGCTGGGATGTCCATTTACTCCATGTGCCTTTTGGCTCCTGGGATTTTAGCCTGAATTCTAAAAAGACAATGATAAAGAGGTTATCAGTGAGATCATTTTATGCATTCATTATGTTGCACTCATTAGCCAAGTGATCAAATAGCTTGATATGCTAAAAGCCATTATAATTCTTTTGTTTTTTTTTTTTGTGCAAATGCTGGGGCTTGAATTCAGGGCTTCATCCTCTTGATTGGCATTTTTACTCAAGGCTGTACTTTATCACTTGAGCAATGGCTTTTTTTTTTTATTTTTGCTGGTTAATTGGAGATAAAGAGTTTCACAGAATTTTCTGCCTGGACTGGTTTCAAATCACTGTCTTTCAATATCAGCCTTCAGAGCAGCTAGGATTAAAGTGTGAGTAACCAACACCCCACTGGTGTTAGTTTTAAGTGTGTGGCTAAAAACTCCTCTACCAGGCAATAAAAAACAAGTGAAAATTGAATAATGAATGACTCAAGAATGTTGTGTTCTTTAGACTATAACTTTTTAGGTAGATAACTATATCAACTTTTTGCAGGGAGACTCTAGAAGCTAAGATAGATCAAGGGTGCCACTGATCATGTAATTTGGGGCATTTCTACAAGAGACCAAAAGTACAGTAACAGGAAAAGTAGCATACACAGAGTTGGTTCTGGATTAAAACAAAATAAACAAGTCTATGCCTATGTTCACATTAGGCTCTGGTAGCTTATGCCTGTAGTCCTAGCAACTCATGATGCTGAGTCCTAGAATTTATGGACTAAAGGCCGGGCGCCGGTGGCTCACGCCTGTAATCCTAGCTACTCAGGAGGCTGAGATCTGAGAATCGTGGTTCAAAGCCAGCCCGGGCAGGAAAGACCGTGAGACTCCTATCTCCAATAAACCACTAGAAAACCGGAAGTGGCGCTGTAGCTCAAGTGGTAGAGCGCTCGCCTTGAGCTGAAGAGCTGGGGGACAGCGCCCAGGCCCAGAGTTCAAGCCCCATGACCGACAAAAAAAAAAAAAAAAAAATATGGACTAAAGCCAGCACTGAAAGTGAGGTAGGTGACACTTTGTCTCCAAAATGACCAGCAAAAAGAGGGCTCGATGCTAGCTCAAGTAGAAGAGCTCCAGCTGAGTATACATGCCGAGTGACAGTACAACATGCCTAATACTATAACAAATAAGATAATCAAATAATCCCACACAAACCTATGTGTGGTCCAACTGCCCTAGAACTGGAATTAAGAAAATTGTCTTACACTAAGGTATGCTATTCATTCAGTAAATGAACATTTTGGGGCTTACAGACTCATCTTTAACATGTGGGTACAGATTAGATATTGCCATAGCTCCTAACATTCTTCAGTGCTCACACTATGGTTGCAATACTGTAGAATGGGCTTGCACTTTCGAATTTGAAAGTGTATGAGTTCATCAGGTATATTTTAATCCTCTGGGCTGGGCACCCTTCCACATTCTAGAATTCCAGGTTTAACCCAAGGGAGAAGGTACTTGCTTTCGTAGAGTTTTTATTCTTGTAAAATTAAGCAGAGAGAAACAGACAAGAAAAGTACACATGGTGACAAATGGTATAAAACAGAAGAAGGCAGTGTTATTGGAAGTTAGGGGCAGCATGGTAAAGTGAGTAGTGCTTACTTTAAATCCACTGATCTGGGAAATAGATGCCCAGAGGGCAGGCAGGAGTCACTAGACAAAGATCTGGAGGTGAGGGGCAAGAGGAGTAGAGGCTGGTGGGCTCGGCGTGTGGAGGGGACAGGCCTGTTAGGTAGGTAGTCACTGGATGGTATTAGAACTTGTGGGCTATGGTAAGGGGTTTAGATTCTCTCCCATGTAATGGCAAGCCATTGGCAAATAGATAGTGATGGTGAGTGTTTAAAAAAAATGGGGAAATAAGAGAAAGCAATTACAGAGGGATTCCAGTGCCAGATGAGCATGGTCAGGGTGATACGTTAGACATGAAAACAGCAGGTGACAAGTTTGGGATCTAGTTTGGAGATGGGGCCAGCTTGTTGATGGATTGAAAGCATGGACAAGGAGAAGAGAAAACAAAATTAAAAAGATTGTTTTTGGTGTGAGAAGCCAGGTGAATGATAAGGCCATACATCAAGAAAGCCAGGATTGGATGAAAAAGAGGTTCTGGCTGTGGAACTGCAAGAAGACTGCTTTTGAAAACTGAAATCCATGGACAAATAAGAAAATATCTGTTAGGCAAGTGCATAGAATTGATGCTCCCTCAACAAGGCTAGAAATTTTACTTCTTTTGGTCTGTTGGGTTTTAGGATTTCTGTTTTTGAACAATGTTCCAGACTTGGGTCCTACCAAATTTTATTCTATACCATGCTGATATTTTTTAATATAAATGTTCTTTATTTGTGTAATCATTAGATGTTGATTATACGTGGGTCCAAGCTCATAATTTTAAGCATTTTTGAAATAACTTACAAGGAAAAACGTAAGGATCAACTTTGTATACATTTCAGGAGAGTACAGCAACCTCCTAGCAGAAGAACTTTGAAGTGTTTATCTTTTAGATTTTGTGTTTGTTATACATTTTTGAGCACTTAAATTCCCTCTCTGTATATTTGTTCACCAGCTAGGTCCAGCCACATAATTATCTGGTTACGGGATGAGTTTATGCTGACAAAGTCTAGTCCTTTGATGGCATATATTTGCAGGTGAAGATGAGTTCAACTGTTGTTCAAAGCAAAACCTCGAGTAATACTAACAACATAAAAACTACCATGGTAGGTGGCAAAAAGCCTAAAAATACCAAGTGAAAATTGAGGGGAAATAACTAAATTAGATGAGCATATTAGCTACAGATTTTTTAAAACTGAAGTGAAGTGTTTACCTCCTAATATATTAGGTAGCTCAAAGAATATGGTCTGCTAAATACCCAGGTTTAAAAAGCACTAGTATCAGTTCAACAAACAAATATTTGTGGAGTTAAATAGTGTAATTAAAATATTTAGGTGACATAAATTTTAGTTATTTTGCAGTTCAAAAGTATCTTAATGCTTTAAAAACTGGTGTTATTGTTTAAAAAATTGAAATTGTTTGCTAAACTAGTATATTTTTCTATTTCAACTTATCTGTTTACTTAATTTTTCTAAACTAGTTGTCCCTTACACCTTATCTTGGATATGGGCCGGTCCTGAAGTAAAGCTTAATATTATTCATTCATTAAAGCTCACTCATTTTGACATCTGAAACAAGTCACTAAAGAATTAAGAGTTTTGAAATTTATACTTACCTTCTGACCTAGTATAACACAGAGAGAAATGAATGTAAATCAAACTATTAGTTTACCATCTTGTTATAACATGTGGCTAATCCATTTGTGTGACTCCTTTTCATGAATTGCACTGTGAAACTTACTTTGCCACCACAGCATTTATGTGAGTCCTCACAAGTCCCAGATATTGGTCAATCTGTGCCTAGGAAGAGAAAGAAATCATGAGTACAGCCAAACACGATGAGGTCAAAGTAGAGCAAGAATGCCTGACATGCACAGAACTTACCTGGTGCTTGACGTAGACTACAGGTAGAGTGAACATTGAAACCACAGCTATGAGAGGAAAAAAAAACACAAAATTAAAACTCTGAGAGTCACCAACAAGAGTCAGCTTATAGATACATTCGGTGTAATGTTGCAATATCATAATATTGCTGGAATAAGTAGCACTTTAGGTAAAAGATGACGGGGATGTATGTGAGAAAAACAAAAGAATGTTGAGTTCTCCACAGATACTGTGCTAGTAGTCCTAGAATGAAGGTGTTTGGTCCCCAACTGAGATGAAAATAAATCTCTTCCCATAACTGCAAACTGATACATAGTAGAAGCACATAAAATCAGATGTGATTCACAGGGAAAAAATGCCTTTAGACTTAAAAGTTCACTATTAATCATATATATAATATAATATATATAATATAGTATATTGTTTAATTGAGCTATGATGGTAGGGGAAATGATCTATATTCCAGGATATCCAGCATTCATTCCTAGGAATATATCAAAGCAAGCTTACATATAATAGCTTGGGAAGCATATGCTCTCAGAGAAAATTAAAGAAGGCATGGCCCTGCCCCCTCCCCAGTCTGTTCTTACCCATGAGCAGCAGGGTCAGGCCATTGAAGAGAGCGCCAACATAAGTCAGAAGCCACATCAGGACTGCAAACTAAAGGAGGAAAGAATGGTTAGGGCTCCTAAAAGCATTCCTGACAGATAAGAGTCTCATGTCATTGTCTTTTGTTTTAGATTGGGATCTAATTATTTTTTCTAGTTAGCATTACCTATTCATTTTTTTCTAATTAGAATTTTAATTAGATTTTTTTTTAAAGATTAGAGTAAAATACAGTAGGAAATGCATTTCAGTAAAACAATTTTCATAGGAAATGAAAGAGCATTAAGGAGTTTAAAGACCATTATGGAATCATAGAAAGAGAACCTTCTCTAGTTCTCTTGGATTTTTTGGAATCACGTTATGTAAGATTTGAGGGGCTGATGATATACTAGTCTAGGCCCCGGTGTGTACGTGGGGTAGGGCGTATGGCCTGCAAATTATTCTTGATTTAATTTTGTATAGTCCCAAGAACTGAGAACAATTATTACATTTCTAAAGTCAAATAAAATAAAAAATGGTTTGTGACATGTGTAATGATGTTGAACTCCGCTTTTAGCGTTCATCAGTAAAATTTGATTGGGACACGGTCACAATCCTTCATTGGCAGATGCTGTTTTTGTTGCTTTGTGCTTCATTGCCAAAGTTGGGTAGAGATGCTCTGGAGTTAAGACCCAAATATTTCTTCTCTAGGCTTTTACAAATAAAGGTGGCTGACTCCTGCTCCATAATTTTTTACATTTTACGAATAGAAACATTACCTTAAGAACACCACAGCACGTGGTTATTATCACTCTAGCTAAGTTATGGCATAGTGAGTTCTTATTCTAGTTAAGTTCCTTGTAGGTTAAGACCACATCGCTTAGTCTTTCCTCTGTTCTTCCAGGAACTAGAGCTCCTAGAGAGCAGGAACATTCTCACAACCAGTCCCCCCAACCCTCCCCGCCCTTTACCCTCACCCTACACTCTGATCATGGCCTTGCTGAGTCAGGATTCACCTGCTTGAATTTCACATGTAACTTGAAGTGAGGCTCAAAAATTCTGCTCAAAACTATCCGGTGGATTCAGTGAAGGTACCAGGATGAAGGCCTGGGTGGCTTGGGTCCTCACTTCATGCTGGGATGGGCACGCTCCTGCCCTCCAGACAGCTCTGCCTTAGTGACTGGATCTGCTTACCACACACAAGGCTCTGAGTTTCATTCTCAGCACTGTAGCAAACAGGTGTCTCAGCCTAAAGACATCTAGAGGACTTACTATTTTAGGCGATTCAGAGTTTCTTTCAATGAGGAAGTGTGCAAAATTTTCACATTTCCCTGACTAGATTTCTATTTTAAAATGAAATCTTGGCGAATTGGCTGAGGAATTGAAAATGGGAAAGATACCAAAGTGTGCTATAAAAATGATAAAAATAGTTACTGTGTAACGTGGGTTTGGTCCAAGGCCTACCAATGACTACTGGGCCTCGGGTAAGTATCTTAACCTCTCTGGGATACAGTTTTGTTATCTGTAAAATAAGAGATTGGACTGCATGAACTTTGTGATGCATATAACTGGATGCTTTCTGAGTAGACTATAATCAACACTTGCTTTGTAATCTTTGTGATGTGGCAGTTTACAATATCCTTCCTTTAGGGAAAGCAACCCAGGATTGCCATGCAAAGGGCTTAAATAACCATACTTTTAAGGAATCCACCAGGTCCTGGACAAGGAAGAGCCTTCGGAGTTCTTTCAGCGTGCTGTTCACATACAGCTGCAGGCAGTCTGTGTACTTCTGGACCTGCTCCTGGGACAGGGTGATCTCAAGCTCTAGGTAAGTCCTGTCAACAGATCATCCCCAGAGATGCATTAGAGGGCTGTATGCGGGCGCTAGGCACATGCTCCAGGGACAATGAATAGCTTGTCTCCTGGATTATGGCAGCAGGGTGCAGGGTACCACACATGCCTACTTCTAGTGCATTGGGAACTTGGGATATTGCAATTGTTTCCTTCCACCAAAGGCAGCATTACAGAGGAAGCTGAGAGCACAGAGAAAAACCAGTGCAAAAGAAACTTGTTCATTTCAATTGTCCACTCATGAGTGCATAGGGATGAATATCTTTAAGCTGTTGAACTATTTGCAAATTCTAGCTGCTAGTCGTTGTTCCTCACTAGACATCTAAGAATTCTTGTTTAAATTCTAGAACTTCCAGGTGTATCCAGAGAGCAAAGAAAACTCAAATGATCTGCACCAGTGAAAATATTCCTTGGTTCTAGGGGATTGTGGTTTTAGTAATGGCATTTTCTATTTGCTCAAGCAGTTAAATTAGACTCACAGACAAGAAAATGCACAAAATACAAAAGATAAAAATAGGTGAAATCATCTAATCTATTCCTTTTCCTTGGTCATGCTCCTCTACCAAGGTCCAGCCTCCCTCATCTTTCCTGCCCTGTTCCACAGAATACTTAAGAGAGCTTAAAGGGCTCTAGGAAATGTGATGGAAGAGTAGGCAGCATTTGGCTTAAGCTGTAGGAAGTGTTAAGACAGAATGCCTTGTCCCTTCAATGATGAGTCAGTGCCTTTGGAGTTGACTAGGTTAAGGGGACTGAGATTAGTGGTCTTATAAAAGGGATCCCAGAGCGCTCTTTCTGCAAGTAAACCAGCTTTCATAACAGGGAGGAATACGTTTCTATTCACTGGGCTGGGGCGGGGGGGGGGGGGGGGGTGTTTCTGGAGCTTAGACTCAGAGCTGGGCATTGTCTCTGAGCTTTTTTTGTATATATTTTTATTGTAAAAATACTGTACAGAGGGGTTGCAGTTACATGAGCAAGGTAATGAGTACATTTCCTAATGAGCATTGTTACCTCCTTCTTTGTTGTACCCCTAACATCCCTTCCCTCCCCACCACCCCCACCTCCTCCCTCCCTACTGCACCCCACCCCCACCCCCTGCCAAAGTTGTAAGGTTTGTTTTCAACAAGGCTCTCTTCACTTCTGGCTTTTTTGGAGTGGTTAACTGGAAATAAGAGTCTCAATAGACTTTTCTGCCCAGACTGGCAGATCCTCAGATCTCAACCTCCTGAGTAGCTAGGATTACAGGCGTGAGTCACGGACACCCACCTACACTTCTGTTCTTTAAGTCATCTAGTTTATGGTACTTTTTCAATGTCACCTGAACTGACTAAATGAGGGCATTTGTTTTAAATGGTATGACTTTTCTCTTCTTTAGAGAAAATACAAAATGATCAATTTTCCTAAATAGTGCATTCTGATGAAATAATATACCAAGTCAGACATTTCTTTTGCTAATAAAAATGACTTTACCAAAAGCAGGCTTGATATTTTAAATTTGTCTCCTAAAGAATGATAAAGTACTTGAGCTCATTATAGATACACTCTTGTTCCTTTTACTAGGTATTAGAAGAAATGAGTGGTGTAAGAGAAAAGTCCCCCATGTCATGTTTCAGCCTTGAAGGATAAGAGTGTAGCAGAAACGCTGTGACAGGGATGGTGGGACCTCAACTGGCTAGGGGCAGAGGCCAAGGGGGGTGAATAAAGATAGGGATAGGTCACAGGTCAAATAGGCTAGGACCATTAAAGGTAAATGTTTGTGCATGCCTTATTAGAAGTGGGAAGACTCCAGGTCTCTGCTCTCTTAGCCTGTGAGATGGAACTTATGTAGACAAGTTACTGTATATCCCAGATGACCCATTAACAGCATTAGAAGGACCGGTACATCCCTAAGGCAAGAATGCCCAGACTATACCTGTATTCCACACCGAGGTCAGGACCCAGAGTCTGGGAAGGAAGGTCTGATGTGTAGCTTTTACCTCTTTGTCCACAAAGTCTCACAAACAGTCATCTTTATAACAGTCATCTCATAAACAGTCAGGCTAATGACTAATGAAGCAGAGCTGGGCTGGATGCAGTGGTGGCACTGGTGAACTTTCCAGGGCTGGCCTAGAAAGTACTCTGCAGCATTGGCTACCTACCTCATCCAGGACTCAGAACTGTCCCTCGGTTACAAAAGATAAGATCATGCAATGGGCCTGCAAGGATCTCAGGAGAGCTAGTGAGCAGGGGGGGGAGGGCTGACACTGGCAGTAGGTGTTGCAAGTACCCAGGTTTACCATCTGGAGATGGAGGATAAACTGGGGGATCTAGGAGGAGGTAGCTGGCCAGGCTGTCATTGCTCTCTGACATATTACATGTGTCCTCTTAGTGGACTGCCCCTTAAAAGAAATTCTGTGCTTCAATATCCATTCTAAACAGATTTCCCCGCATGAAAATGCAGAGAAGGAAGGGCACAGAATGAAACTGTTCACTAAGCTTGATCCTGCAGTGTTAAATTTCCAGAGATGGCATGGAAATAATAGTCAGAGGCTCCACACTAGGTCCTGGCCACGGGACCTTATGTATGTATTGTAACTTCCTGGAACTTGAGTTTCCCATTGGTACATAGAGACTACAATGCCTGCCCTGCCTTCCTTTATACCATTGGTTGGATTAAGCAATTGTTGGAATACTCTACAAATTATACCACATTATATACAGATGAGGGATGATGATTACTATTCATAATGAATTATAAAAACTCAATCCAGGGAGAAATATTAGGATGGTGATTTGATTTTTGTCACAGAAATCTACCAGCACTGTTAGATACTAATGGCAAGTGTTGGGGGGAGACTCTAGGAGGTCTTCAGGATCCCAGAAAAATACTCTCAGGTGTATCTGTGGGCTAGGGAAGAGCCTAGGGCAGGCAGGCAGGCAGGCAGGCAGGGATGGGGCACTCACTTGAAAGGGTGGCCTTCATCGGTTTTCTGTACAGCTTGTAAAACAGACTTGTAGATGCGGAAGCTGATGGTGGCCGAGAGCGCAGCCAGGGCCAGGTAGGCGATGACGCTCACCACGCTGAACTGGGTCAGAGAGAAGAGCAGCAGCAGGAAGCTCCCAAACACAATCCCCGTCTGCTTGATGTCCCGCCAGTACAGCAGGTCAATAGCTGTGAAAGAGGACACATACACACACCCCATGAACCCTGCTTGTGCTAGAATGAGCTGCTGGTCATCTGCCCAGCTGTTGGGGCTGCGGGCTCCTACCAGACACTGAGACTGCTAAACACAAAGCAGTGGACAGATGCCTATAGCAGCAATTTCCTTTGGGAAAGATGGAGGATACTTCTCCACATTCACAGATAAGACTCCGTGGGCAGCAGTGCTACAGAGGCATTGCTGTGGGCTACAGCATCTACACAGTGGCTGGAATTAGGCGAATTCAATACAGAGGACTATGTGAAGCCCCTGTGCTCTTCTTTTGGAGAATAGGGATTACGTGTGCACCCTGCCATCCTGGTGACAACTTTCTCAGTGGCAGCCTGTATGTAGATTCATACATCAGTACCCCTGCTGCTCAGAAGGGCAGAAACAATAAAAACAAGAGCTTTTATTTTTGCAGAGAGAGTGGTGCCTTTGGAAGTATGAAGTCAATCTGTGGGAAACCAGCTTCACAGATGCATATGATACAATCCATACCGTACACATTGGGATGAAGACATCGCCCACCTCCTAAACCCCAGCAGACCTGAGCTGCGGCGTCAACAAATCCTGGGGCTGACATTTGCATTCAACTTTTGGACAGCATGACTTGTTTACTTAAATTCTATGACTGAAAAAAATCTGGACTGCAAGTCTGAAAATTGACATTACATTTACATCATCTTTTTTCAACCTATAGCTGTGTTCAAAAGAATAAAGCCAGATGCAAGAGCATGGCTCAAATGATACAGCATCTACCTAACAAGTGTGAAACCTGGAATCATGAATCAATACATAAATATGGTGCCTAAGCCCTGAGTTCAAGCCCCATTACTAACAACAAAAATAAATAAATAAATAAACAATACTATCGTGTTTCACACGTGGTATAGCATGGAAATATTTTGAATATTTCAGTTGCTAAAAAAAAATAAAAAGCACATGAGGCTTGCTGACAAAGCTCTGCAAACTTTTTTTTCCTCACCAGTCCTCGGGCTTGAACTCTGGGCATGGGCACTGTCCCGAGCTTCTTTTGCTCAAGCTGAGTGCTCTACCACTTGAACCACAGTGCCACTTCTGGCTTTTTTTGAGTAGTTTATTGGAGATAAGAGTCTCACAGAGTTTCCTGCCTGGGCTGGCTTTGAACCACGATCCTCAGATCTCAGCCTCCTGAGTAGCTAGGAGTACAGGCGTGAACCACCAGTGCCCAGCTGCAAACGAATTCTTTAAGTTGGCAAATGACAAATGGTCTTTACACACTGTTATTTTCAATCAGGAAGAGAAAATGTTATTGTCAATCAGGTAGAAAAAAATCAGAAACAAATGTCCCATGTCATAACCAGATGTAAATCGCAGTAGCTTATACTGCAATTTCCTGTGCACAGTACTGGAAGACAACTGGTTTACAAGATTAGATTCCAGTCACTTGCACGGGGTGAAGCAAATGGAGGTGATCAGGTAGGGGGAGCAGGACACAGCTCCTAGCATTCATCTGAGTACAACTGCTGAAAGAACAGTGCAGGCTGAGAATCTCTTGTCCAAAATGCCTGGGAACAAACATGCTTTGCATTCTAGAACACTGTTTGGATTCTAGATTTTTTTTGGGGGGGGGGGATTCTGACTTATTTACATCTACATAAGAATATATCTTGGAAACTGGACTCAAGTGCTAAACCTGAAACTCACTTCTGTTTTAAATACATCTTATACACATATGAAGGTAATTTGAGACAATATTTTAAAAGTAATTTTATGCATAAAACAGAGTATCACCATATGGATGTTTCCACTTTGGTAGCATGCTGATGCTCTAAAAGTTATAGATTATGGAACATTTTGTGTTTGCGAATTAAGAATGGTAACCTTCTATGGTTACCATGGCAACCTTCCAACCTTGTACCCTAGTGACAGTCCCAGGCTAAAGAGGTGACATGGAATAGGGCTAGAGCTAGGTGCTAACCCTCCTCATGCTGGCTGGCTACAATTCAGGGGCTGAGAAGCAAGGGACTCCACAATGGGCTCATGATGACCTCCCATTATGACACTGGAGAAGGAATTTACTCCCTATCCACTGGCCCAAGAGAAGTGGGAGAAGGAGCCCCACGGAAGCCCGGTCCCTCTTGGGGCTGAATGTAGGGGGAAGATACAGAGGCAACAAACCAATCCTAGGTTAACTTTTTAGAGCAGCAGTATCTACCACAAAAGGAAGGAAGGAAGGAAGGAAGGAAGGAAGGAAGGAAGGAAGGAAGGGTGGAAGGGAGGAAGGAAGGAAGGGAAAAAGAAAGAAGAAAGGAAGGAGGGAAGGGAGGTAGCGAGGGAGGGAGGAAGCAAGGAAAGAAATATAGAAGGGAAGAAAGAAGGGAGGAAAGGAAGGAAAGAAAGAAAGGAAGGAAGGAAGAAGGAGGGAAAGAGAAAGAAAGGAAAGAAAAAAGAGAAAGAAAGAAAGGAGGGAAAGAAAAAAGAAAGAAAGGAAGGAAGGAAGGAAGAAAAGAAGAAAGGAAGAAAGAGACAGAAGCTAAGGATAACAGAATGACTTGCATCTGGTCTGGGCTGTCTTGGGCAGTCTGTGGACAGAGCAGTAAGTCACATTAGTTGTGTAGTGTTATCTCCTAACAGTTCTATCAGTCCAGTTGCACAGACTGAGGAAGATTTCTACTTAGATTAACAAAAGAATGCTTTTAAAACAATGGCCAGTGGATTCTGGGTAGTTTGTGACAGATACCCATTTACCCTCAATTCTTAAATGTTCAAAGCACTTCGTACATGATCACATTTAAACCGCACACCATTAGTTCCAAGTGACAGGTGAGGAAGCTAAAAATTAAGAAAATTGTATCCTGACTAGGTATTACAAAGAACCAGAAAGCACTCCTAAATTGGTTGTTTTTCCCCAAAGAAAATAGTTGTCTGTCTCATGTGGTATGTTGAACAGAGCCTGGGTGCTATCCTTGAGCTTTTTCACTCAAGGCTAGCACTCTACCACTTAGAACTACAGCTCCACTTCCAGTTTTCCAGTAGTTAATTGGAGATCCAAGTCTCGTGGCCTTTCCTGCCTGGAGTGACTTTGATTCTCAGATCTCAGCTTCTTGAGTAGCTAAGATTGCAGACATGAGCCACTAGCGTGTAGGAATTTTTTTTCTTGAAGTGAAAACAAAGGAATTATCAATAGTCGATCACTGGTTACCTAGTAAGCCCAGGAATCAAGCAATCACAAACCTTGTTCCTTTTCTTAAGAAACTTAAGGCCTAGCTGAGATGACTGTGTGTTCATTTAAATAAACTCTGACTCAGTGTCAGAATATCTTGTGATGTGGGAGGTGGCAAACTTTTAAAGTGAGGACCAAGCATGCCTAGGGTGGTTAAAGGAAGAGGATGTGGGGTAGTTTGTAAATGTAGGGAACAATTTGTTAAGGAGATGAGGTGGATAAAAGGAAATATTATGAAGGGTTAGTTGACAAGAATGATGACTAATTAGCTGTGGGAGAAAGGAGGAAGAGTTAATTATGGGTAGAAGCAACATTTCAAAGCTGGATGATTGAGATATGAGCATCAGTGACAAAAATAGCAAGCTGAGGATGAACTGGTTTGGGGGGAAGATGGCACTTGTGTTTCAACCTCCAGATTCTGACATGAGACTTGAAAGCAGGCCACTGTAACATAGCCTGTGGCAGGAGCAAGATAGGAGTCACCAAGGAGACAGACTGCCAATTAAACAGAAATCCCCCTTTTCAAAATTCTGTGAGGTTAAGTGACTCTTTTAAGTCTTTTAACTCAGTGGACTTGAGTTAAAACCAATCATATCAATTACACAGTGACTTTCGGAAGAGTAAGCACAGCAGACCATTTGGCCTGAAATTTGGTAAACAGGAGAATGTTTAGAGTTCGGTGTATTCTGGGTAGAAATAACGATTGAAGCCAAGGGAGGGCAAGGGTTGCCATTTAGGATCAAGTCATAGAAAAGAATAAGTAGAACTATAGAAAAAAGGGGGTGGGCAGCTGCAGTGTCTAAGGGCACAGCATCTATGGTGATGGGAGTTCCCAGAAGAAAAGCAAAAGCTACCAAGTGGTATTCTGGAGAGAGCGGGGGAGGGAGATGAGAGCCAAGAAAAGACAGACCAGTGTATTTGCAGCTGGAAGGTCATTCACAGTTTGGCCGAGGGTGGTGTTGGGAGTCATGGGGTGGAAGCCCCATGTAAGTGGTTGGGAGAGGTTGTGCAAGTTCAAAGAATAGTGATGATTGTGAAGCAGCAGCACATGCAAACCCTTAGGATGAGCAAAATCTGGGGATGTTGGTAGAAAGATGGACAAGGATTCTGGAGAGAGAAGATAATTGATTCAGCAAGAGCTCAGAGAAGGCAGGACAAGATCTAATGTCTTTTCAAAGAGTGGAGAAGAAAAGAGATGGGAGAGACTTTGGGGGAAGGTATGGGAGTGGCAATAGATATGTGTTAAGCTAAAAGTGTCCTGAGCTGCTGGGCACTGGTGGCTCACACCTGTAATCCTAGCTACTCAGGAGGCTGAGATCTGAGATCACAGTTCAAAGCCAGCCCAGGCAGGAATAGTCCATGAGACTCTGATCTCCAATTAGCCACCAGAAAACCAAAAGTGGCACTGTGGCTCAAGTGGCAGAGCACTCACCTTGAGCTGAAGAACTCAAGGATAGCCCTCAGGCCCAGAGATCAAGCCCCCGATCAACAACAACAACAATGTCGCTTGAGCTAAGTTGCCTTGATTTTTCTTTGGAGACTAAGTCCTGAGGTCTTCCTGGGACTGAAATGGTCCGGGGTAGGCAGGAGTTGAAGATAGTAGGAAAAGATGAGGCCTGTGTTGTGCAATACCCTGGTAACAAGTTACAAGAGGCTGCTGAGCACTCAAAGTGGCGTGGTCCCAAATGAGACTTTCTGTGTCAACTACTATATTGGATTTCAAACTTAGTGTAAAAAAAATGTAAAACAGAATATCTCCTTAAA